GTTATCAAACTTCTTGATGCTGGTATCATTTACCCTATCTCGGACAGTAGATGGGTAAGTCCAATCCATATTGTACCAAAGAAAGGAGGTTTCACGGTTGTTCCAAATGAGCATAATGAGCTCATTCCTACTCGCTTGGTCACGGGATGTAGAATGTGCATCGATTACAGGAAGCTTAACAAAGTCACAAATAAGGATCATTATCCTTTACCTTTCATTGATCAGTTACTTGAGAGGATGGCAAACCGTAGCCATTATTGCTTTCTCGATGGATTCTCAGGATATTTTCAAATCATGATCCATCCTGATGATCAAGAAAAGACTACCTTCACGTGTGCCTATGGTACATTTGCTTTTCGAAGAATGTCATTTGGCTTATGTAATGCACCCGAAACTTTCCAATGGTGTATGATGGCTATATTCTCTGATCTTATTGAAGAAATCATGGAGGTATTCATGGATGATTTCTCTGTCTATGGGACCTCATTTGACTCGTGCTTGGATAATCTTGATAAAGCATTGACTCGTTGCCAAGAGGCAAATCTTGTCCTAAACTGGGAGAAGTGCCATTTCATGGTAACAGAAGGAATTGTTCTTGGGCATAAGATTTCATCCAAAGGCATTGAGGTAGATCCAGCAAAGATTGAAGTGATCGAGAAGTTACCACCGCCAACATCTGTTAAAGGCATCTGAAGCTTTTTAGGGCACGCTGGATTCTATCGGTGATTCATCAAGGATTTTGCTAATATTGCAAAACCACTCACAAGACTCCTATCCAAAGAGGTTGAATTTATCTTTGATTATGCTTGTCTTAATTCTTTTTGTAAAATAAAGAAAGCATTATGTTCTGCACCCGTCATTCAACCACCAGATTGGAGCATGCCTTTCATCCTAATGTGTGACGCCAGTGATTATGCTGTAGGAGCCATGTTGGGACAGAAACAAGGTCGTTGCATACATGCAATTTATTATGCAAGTCATACTCTCGATGATGCTCAACAAAACTATGCCACACCAGAAAAAGAGCTACTCGCAGTTGTCTTTGCCATAGAGAAGTTCAGGTCATATCTTGTTGGAAGCAAAGTGATAGTTTACACTGATCACTCAGCTCTAAAGTACCTGTTTGCAAAGAAGGAGGCCAAGCCACGACTTATTAGATGGGTGTTGCTACTGCAAGAGTTTGACATCGAGATCCTTGACAAAAAGGGGTCTGAAAATGTCATCGCTGATCACCTGTCCAGAATTGAGTCACACACAGAAAATAAAGCGACCAAAGAATTACCCATTGATGATTCATTCACGGGAGAATATTTTCTCTCTGTCAAGCACTTTTCTCCTTGGTATGCTGATTGGGTTAATTACCTGGTGAGTGGTTATATTCCTTCCGAATTCTCGTGGTCCCAAAAGAAAAAGTTCTTACATGATGCTCGCTCTTATTTTTGGGATGAACCACTATTGTTCAAGAGATGTGCTGATGGAATTGTTCGAAGATGCATTCCAGAAGATGAGTTTGAGGCTTTCCTTTATCATTGTCATTCGTCACCATATGGTGGTCATTTCGGATCCACAAAGACGTCAGCTAAAGTCCTACAGTCAGGTTTCTATTGGCCTACATTGTTCAAAGATTCTCAAATGTACGTGAAAAGATGTGACCGATGCCAACGCACAGGATCTATTGGTCACCGAAATGAAATGCCACAATCCGGAATACTTGAAGTTGAACTCTTTGATGTATGGGGAATGGACTTTATGGGACCATTTCCTAGCTCATGTGGCAATTCTTACATTCTTGTGGCTGTGGACTATGTTTCAAAATGGATTGAAGCGATTGCTAGTCCAACAAATGATTCCAAGGTTGTGATCCGGTTTGTGAAGAAATTTATTTTCTCAAGGTTTGGAGTTCCGAGGGCCTTCATCACAGATAATGGTACACACTTCTGCAATAAGCAACTTGAGAAACTTTTGCTCAAGTATGGTGTTAATCACAAAGTGTCTATTCCGTACCATGCACAAACTAGTGGCCAAGTTGAACTCTCAAATAGGGAAATCAAATCAGTCCTTGAGAAAGTTGTCAATCCCACGAGGAAAGATTGGTCCCTCCGACTTGATGATGCTTTATGGGCCTATCGTACTGCATATAAGACTCCTATTGGCACATCACCGTTCAAATTGGTGTATGGGAAATCTTGTCACTTACCAGTGGAGATTGAACACAAAACATATTGGGCTATCTAAAGCCTAAACCTTGACTCCACTCTGGCGGGGAAAAAGTGGTTGTTACAACTGAATGAACTTGAAGAATTCAGAATTGATGCCTTTGAGAATGCCCGGCTCTACAAGGAAAGAGCAAAGAAATGGCACGATGGGAGAATCCTTAGGAGAGACTTTTCTCCTGGAGATAGTGTGCTACTATTCAACTCAAGGCTAAAACTCTTTCCAGGAAAGCTGAAATCAAAATGGTCTGGACCTTTCAAAGTTATCAAAGCCTATCCATCCGGGGCAATCATTCTGGAGGGAAATGATGGGAGGCAATTTACTATCAATGGCCAAAGAGTTAAGTAATATCATGAAGGAGATGACACAAAGGAGAAACTCACCGTTGATCTGGACGATCCTCCTTACGAGTAAAATACACGGGTAATGTCGGGCACACGACGTTAAAAATAGCGCTTCTTAGGAGGCAACCCAAGTTTATTTCCTTACATTTGTATGTGTGTTTTGTTTGTGTGTTTGCATTGCATGATTTTTCCCCCCACCCATTTACTCACCCGCCCTGTATATATTTGTCACATCGAGGATGATATTTCGTCCTAAGTGTGGGGGGAGAATACACATGTTTGTTTGTGTTTGTCAATTGCCTTATCAACTATTTAATTTTCAAATCATGCATTCTATTCTTTCAAATGGTATGTGGATTGTTGGCGGGACTTGTCTCTTAATAATTGGATTGAGAATCATAATTTTTGAGCATTGAGTAAAAAATTTGGTCAAATTTTAAACTTTGTACAGACACAAAACATCTCATGCACGTAAATGGTTATCTAGTGAAATTGTTGTTCAATATGTTTAAGATTGTGCAAAACAAGAGTGCTATGTGCTTTTATTTTCCTTGACATGATTTTCTGACTTAGCACATTAGGAAATGATATAGGCCATTTTTCAAAAAACCCATATACCTAGCCTTACCCATGTGATAAATATCCCTTGTTCACCCCTTTGAGCCATTTCTTTTAATAAGCGTTATACGCTTAACCCTATTTTTGTTATTTTCTTTCATGACAACCCGTTATATGTGAACCTTAGCCTAAAAGCCAAACACTTTCCATCAACCCTAGAAAGAACTTGCATAAATTTTAATGATTTTAGAGAGTGTCATTCACCTTAAGGGAGCTTCATTTGCACTTTTGTGATTACTTAGTTGTTAATATTCATTATAGGGGTAGTTTTTCTTGTTGTATCATCATTGTACATATTATTCTTGTAAATTCTTAATGTTAGAAGCATAAATAAGCCTTGAAAAAAAATCAAAAAAAAAAAAGAAAAAAATGAAAAAAAGAAAATATAAAAAAAGAAAAAAAAAGAAGAAAAAAGTGAACAAGGCTAAATGTCAATGTATATGCTTCTCTCTTTTGTATATTTTTCTTGTACATTAAATTACTCTTTTTACTACCTCTAACTGTTAAAAATAACAAATGTTGTATAGATTATTGTCAAAAGCTCCTACTCACTACTTAGTACCCCTTTAAATTTGTTAAATTTATGTCAAGTTCATTTCTTTTGTTTCCTCATTAACTCCCTTTGTTCATAAGCCTTTTCCCACAGACCCCATTATAACCCAATGTGAAAAGTCCTAATTGATCTTAATTGTGTTTTGTCTCAAATAAGTTGATAGGAAAATCTTATTTTGCATAATTTTGCATGGTTGAACAAACGAAGCTAGATTCCTTTTTCAGATCATACACTTTGCGTTTGTTATAGTTAAGATTTGACCAAAACTTTTCAGATGATAAGCAAAATATTTTTACGATTCTCACTACTCTTATTTTGTGACAAGTCAAGGGAATTCGATTGATCGGTAGAGTGAAAGGAAAGTGTGCATGATTTGAGGGTTATACATATGATTTGGCAAATTCATTTATGTTTGCTTGCTTGCTTGCTTGTGTGAAATGTAAATAATTTTTGCTTGAGGACAAACAAAATCTTAAGTATGAGGGAGTTGATGTACTCCTAATTTACCATATTTATGATCTTGTTTTGTCACACTTTTAATATTTTATTTCTCATTTTTAAATTAAAAAGGATTGATTTTTATCATCTTGAACATTTTAAGGTATTGAACTTGTATTGGTATATTTTTGAATTTCAGGATAATTCGGGATGTAAATTAAAATTCTGAAAAGAAATAAAAGTACTCCCGAGTAAAGACGGAAAAACAACCAAAGTGAAGCGGGTCCTTACTTTAACTCTAAAATATTTTATCAAGAGACCCGAATACATTTTTCAGAATAAACAAGATTGTGCGCAACAAAATGTACCGGTTAACTGCGGACCAGTTAATTGATCACACAGACAACTGGCCATAGAAGTCATGGACAAAGAAATCAAACAGTGAAGGAAAAGAAATGTGGCCAGGCTTGTGGAGAAAATAATGCAATGAATTAATTTGGCAAGGACCCATGCGTACAAGGCTAAGATATAATTGTATCCATGGCCGATCTCTCCAACCAATAAACTCATGCCATGTCATCAATTCTTTACCACCATACAGCCACATAGTCATCATCATCTTACCATCATGAGGAACACAGCAGCTATCAAACTTTATGCAGGAAATAAAACAAACCGAAGACTATTCACGGGAACTGTTGTTTCGGCGCCTAATGGGATTAGGCTAATCAATTTGCAAAATTATTATTTCCACCAGCATCATTATTGAATAACCTTCAAGCTCAAGAGAGTTTGTGTTGCCTATATAAAGACGCATTTTGGAGCTCTGAAAACACACCAACTCGGAGAGAAATATCCTTCTTCTCTTCTTTAGCTTTGTTCATAGTAGTAGTCATATAATAAAAGTGATTCTGTCAAGAACACTTTCTGTAAATTTCAATTTGTAATTTTCATTTCAAGAATTTTAGTTCTTTAATTTCAACAATCAAGTTCATTTGGGAAGTATCAACCAGAATCATTCTCAGCTTAAGGATTTCACTTTCTCTATTCCACCTCATTATTTATGCCTTCAGGTTCTTATTCAAATACTCATTTTATTTTCTTTAATTTGTTAAATTAATTATGCCTATCATTAGTTTTACTTTTATTTCGTTTACTGTAATTATGTGTAACTAAATTAGTTTAGGTTTGGGCAAGATGTAATTTTTGCTGTTAATGTTCATATGATAATAATTGGTTAAAACTATTACTTGGTTAATTTTAGGAGTGTTGGGTTGAATATTCTAATCTGCTAAATACATTATATTGGGAAATGAATATTATCACGGGAGTGAAATTTCATTAAAATCTCTTTTGTTAATTCACCCACTAAATTGCTACACGGAAGTGTTAAGGAATTTAGGATAATTTGATTTTCCATCATTTGCAATGGAGCCAAAGATTCATTATTTTTTGGCTTGAGATTATGATGGAATAAAGCAAAATGACTCACTAAACTGTCTGCGCTTCTTTGTTATGAAGCAGCAGTCAGTCCATGCAATTTTGGACGGGATTTTCACTATGGGTCATCCGGAAACAGTCTCTTTGTGCTTTAGTACAGGGGTAAGACTGCGTACATCCGACCCCCCCTTACCCCACCGTAGGTGGGAGCCTTTGCGGCACTGGGGTAAATGAAAATGAAATGAAAATGAATGAAATTACCGCGGGAGCGGAATTAATTTAAGATAGTGTGATCAACTAAGTCGTGGGAACGATTAGAAGATTACCATTTGTACATCTTTCACACACCTAAAAGTAACTAAGTTAATTAGTTAAATCTTTATTAATATGAACATCAAAATAAAATTACTCTTAGCCCAAGCCTAATTTTCTCTATATCATTAATTGTTAAATTACCAAGTATTGTGATTTATTTTACTCTAGCAATTTCGCATTAACAAAAACAAGTTAAAAAAAATCTATTCACTTAGCTCCATTGCAAAATGTTATCAATTTGTGATTAGCTAAAAATCAATCATCAATTCTAGTTCTCTTTTTGAGTCATTCTCTAGCGGAACGATACTCACTTACTCTATACTATATCGTTACAAGCCAATTAAAACATCATTTCCATTCACATTTTTACACCATTTCACACTAAACATTTTGGCATGTCAATAAACGTGTATTAAATACAAAGAGGGGACTAATTATACATCAAAGAACAACTTACATATTTGGATTTAAATTATAAATAGAATCCATAGTTGTAAAAGTTGTAAAGTGATGTGTTAAAACCATGACTTATTTGTTCCATATTAGAGGATAAAAATGTCTCATATGATTATAATTTTCAATTACAAGTGATGTAATTGATGTCTTAAGTTTGGAGACTCTCTAATTGATTGAACAAAATAATTCTATGGTTTATTAGAACTGAACCGATTTTTATTATTTGTTAATAATAAAAACGAGCAGTCTATGAGGAGAATATAATAGCTGATCGATTGTGAAATTGAATTTTTAAAATTCAAAATGATCGAGCATAATAAAGTGGCTATTGATGTAATCCTAGAAAACCTGAACTGGTTGGCCGTTCACCTCACATGCTATTTATCGAATATTTATCCTTGATTTCCGTTTCTAAAACCATCCCCTATCTAATCTTTATTCTTTATTATGCCATAATAATGCAAAGAGACATGTATGCATGTTTTTCAAAAGAAGCCTTACGTAAGAAAGCAAAGTGGAGAATACTCTTTCAATTTTTTTTGCCCTCTGCACGTACAAACTAAAGAAATCAGCCATATATTCTCTTCTAAATTGATCTTGCTTTCTTTAGAAGCAAACAATACTCCTTGTACAAGAGAAGAGTATCCATAGTTTCCTTTATTGAGTCATTCTATTCTGTCAAGGCAATTTGGGCAACGGTCGAAGGTTTCAATCAAGGTAGCTACGAGATTGAAATGTGGTAGGATTATCCTGGGAGCGAGCTAGCCAGACCCGTCTGAATAGCTATCGGTATACGGGGGCTATCTTTCTTCAAGGCCAATCCGTTTTAACGGGCGATCCTGCGATAAGTTTTCTTACCTTACTTTTTATTCATTTTCCGTTTATTCTAATTATTATTATTATTTTCTTTTTCTTGCATTTGGCGGTTTGTCTGGTGATTTGGTTTAAACTCGGGATTCTTATCTGGTTAAACTCACACTTTTAATATCAATTTTCTAACATTATGTACTATGACCGTTACACCATCTATCTTCGAGGAGATCAAGAATGGGCAACTGGCAGATATGAAGCTCGAGAGAATCAAGGAAGGAATGAAAGATGGGGTCAATGGACCATTCAAGACACATGAAGATGGGAGCATCCGATACAAGGGAAGGTGGTGTGTTCCGCTGAAGTGTGCAGATATTAAAAGACAAATCATGGAGGAGGGACACAACACGCCCTACTCGGTACATCCCGGGGGAGACAAACTATACAAAGACCTGAAAAACAACTTTTGGTGGCCGGGAATGAAGAGAGAAGTAGCTGAATTCGTATCCCGATGTTTGAATTGCCAAAAAGTCAAAGTAGAGAGATGCAAACCCAAGGGACTTGTGCAACCCTTGGAAGTACCTAAATGGAAGTGGGATTCCATCTCGATGGATTTTGTTGGAGGATTACCCTTAACTAAATCCGGAAAAGATAAGATTTGGGTAATCGTTGACCGATTAACCAAAACTGCAAGATTCATTGCCATGAATGAAACTTGGAGTATGGACAAGCTGGCATGTCAATTCGACCCACATTTTTACACCATTTCACACTACACATTTTGGCATGTCATGATTTTGGCGCCGTTGCCGGGGAATGACATAGTGTTATTGATTGATTATTAGTTATTATTAGTGTTTGTTATTATTTATCTGGAGACTAGGTATTTTTTTACCTGTTCTCATCACTTTCGTAAAAAAAAAAAAAAGAAAATCATTTTTCTTGCACTAAAACAAACTCTTAAAAAGTGTATGCATACTCGCTCTCAAGGGAGTGAAGGATTGCAATCACTTAACCTTGATTTTGAAAAAGAATTAAGGAAAAGAAGAAAAGCACGAACCCTTGAACTTAAAATTCCAGATCTGATCATGGAGGATTTTCAAAACAACCCCAATAATCCAAATGGCCAAAACCGAATTCCAAATCCAAATCCTACGCCACCTCAAAATACACCCATTGATACTCCCAGAGATAGACATAATCCTTTCTTTGGAGATCAAAGAACACCAGGATTTGAAAATTTCCAACAAATTCCTCCCCAAACACAACCCCAAATTTATCCACCACATCCCTACCAAAATCACCAAAACCAACCTCCTCCTCCATATCCATACACTTACTCATATCCTTACCCACCTCCTCCATTTATGCACCCATACCAACCTCACCCATATGACCAATACTACCAACACCCACATAATCAACAAGATCAATGGCAATTCATGAGACAACAACAAGGGAGAAGACTTCTTGATTATGTTGCAGGTGAAATTGAGGAACAAGACAGTATTCTCTATCCATGTGTGGATGCAGCAAATTTTGAGATCAAACCAGCACTTATCTCATTGGTTTCAGCCAACAAATTTGGCGGATCAAAGAGTGAAGATCCGACGAGCCATGTGAAACAATTCTTGAGAGTTCTCCAAACTCTTAAACTTAATGGAGCCTCTGTTGATGCTATCAGACTCATATTGTTCCCATTCTGACTGAGGGATGAAGCATTGAGTTGGTTGAACTCTAAACCATCCGGTTATTTCAACACATGGGAGAAGTTGCATCGAGAATTCATGAAGAAGTTCTATCCTCCTTCCAAGGCATAAAAAATGAAGAAACTTATGCAGCAATTCAGGCAACATCCATCAGAATCTCTTTACGAATCATGGAAGAGATTTAAAGACATTCAAGTTCAATATCCACATCATAATATGAGCATGGGTGATCTCATTGTCTCATTTTATGAAGGATTACATGATAATTCCAAAATTGTTGTGGATGCCTCTGCTAATGGAGCTTTCATGGAGCTTGATCCTGAAATAGGCAAAGAGATGCTTGAGAAAACTTGTAACAACAGTGCATCATGGTATTATGAAAGATCCACTCAAAAACTAGGAGCGGGAATTTATGAGGTTGACCAAACAACAGTTTTAACGACAAAGGTTGATTCTCTCACAACCATGGTTCAAAAGCTCATGGAGAAACAATCATCATCAACTTCTAGCACATCAACAAATCCATAATCATCTTTAGCTCAAGTTTTGTTCTGTGAACTCTGTGGAGGAGGACATTCTTTTAAGGAATGCAATCTTCTTGAACTCACACAAAATGTTCCTTCTGGCCCCACAGTTAGGGATGTACACCGGTCCAAAACCGGACCGGACCGGAACCGGACCGGACCGGAACCGGAAACTTAAATTTATGAGGACCGAAGACCGGACCTGTTACTAACCGGTCCAGACCGACCCGGACCTGAATTTTCCGGTCTGGTCCGGGTTTGACCCTAATTGACCCGGTTTTGTAAACAAAGACATAACATCATACATTGGCTAAAAACTAAATTGCTTGATTACAATAATTATTAGTAGCAGAATGTAAAATTACTTAACTAAATTATACTTCACACAATTTTTTTAAAATATAAGATAAGGAACATTGTGGCCGCAATATAAGAGAGAAAAATAACCAGAATAATTCCAAGGAAAAAGCACTATGATGCATATGCTAGGACTAAAACTTGAAGTTGAATTAATAAGGGAAAAATCTGTTTTTGGAAAAGTTAACTTCTGTTTTATTTAAGATAAAAAAAAGACATCTTTTTCCATGCTTCTAACAACATGTAGCTTTTATGTTGTTATTTAGTAAGTCCAAAACAGAATCAGTACAAGGTTGTCTTTTGTGATTTTTTTGAAAAACTAATTTAACGGGCTACCGGTCCGGACCTGTATTTTTCCGGGTTTGACCCGGACCGGACTGGAACCCGGATTCTTAAAATTTTAAAGACCGAAACCCGAACCGGTTAATACCGGCCCGGTCCGGACCGGTCGATTCCGGTCCGGTTCAGGTCCAAATTACGGTCCGACCCGGTTAATGAACACCCCTACCCACAGTAGAACAAGCTGAAGCTATATATGGTAGACCTCAAGTACCATATCAAGGAAACTATAACCCTCAAGGGAAGACACATCCAGGATTCTCATGAAGCAACCCATCAGGTGCAGCAAATTCATCTTTTCCATCCAAACCAACACCTCCTGGATTTCAAAATCAACAAGGATTCAGAGGAGGAAACCAAAACAACAACCAATTGAGGGGAAATCAAGGGTATCAAAATCCTCAAGGGTACCCACCGCAACAACAATTTTCATCACCTCCTCAACAACAACAACAATTTGTTGGAGTTAATGATTTCCAACAGATGATGCAAGGTATTACTAATCAATTTTCTCAACTCACCACTCAACTCAATCAAATTCAAGTTCACAACAAAAAGCTTGAGAGCCAGATTGCTAGTTTTGCTTCACCATCTACTAGCAAAGCTCAAGGCAATACTTAAGTTGGGTGACATAATCGATCAGGTGGTTCTAGGACCACAATACTTGCAAGATACCATAGAGAAAGTCAAAGTCATCCAAGAGAGGATGAAGGCGGCCCAAGACCGACAAAAGTCATATGTCGATCTTGGGAGGAAGCCAGCTGAATTCGAGATAGGGGAGAAAGTTCTACTCAAAGTCTCTCCTACAAAAGGAGTAATGAGGCTCGGGAAGAAAGGGAAACTAAGCCCGAAGTTCATCAGACCCTACGACATCCTAGAGAAGGTGGGAAAAGTGGCATATCGATTAGCTCTACCCACAGAGTTGGATAAGGCAACAAACGATTTTAAAACCAGATACTTTTCAATGATTAGAATTCATCCTTAACATACAGATTTGTGCTAGGTACATAACGTCTTTCACGTATCACAATTAAAGAAGTACGTTCGAGATGAGTCACATATCATCAACCCCGAGGTAAGAGACTCTAAACTTAACATGAACCAAAGTAAATTGGAAATAATATAGGTTAACCCTTATATTATTAGGTGATTGAAATAGATGAGGCGTTATCCTACCAAGAAAAACCCGTAGAGATCCTTGATACTAAAACCCGAGAGACGAGGAAGAAGACAGTTAAGATTGTAAAAGTACTTTGGTCAAACCATTTGACCGAGAATGCAACATGGGAGACAGAAGAGGATATGCGTAAACGGTATCCTGAACTGTTCAACTAAGGTAAATATTGGGTTACGAGGATGTAACCTTTCTTTTAGGGGGGCAGGTTATAACATTTTATAAACCTGTAATACTTCATCTTCATACTTAATTCTCGTCTTAGTTTATGCTTCAAGGACGAAGTATTCTTTAAGGAGGGTAGAATGTGATACCTTGAAAATTTGAAATAAAAATAAATAAATAAATAAATCAGATAAGTTATATCTGATAAATCAAATGAAAGTAATATCAAAATATTTTGTATTATACTTGGTGTATAAAAATATATGCACGCTACATGCAATAAAATTAAACACTTATGTGGCATCGAAAAAAATAAAATAAAAATAAAATGGAAATAAATCAGATAAAATATAGATGACGGAATAAATAAATAAATAAAAATAGTAAGAATATTAAAAATTACTAATAATAGCATCAAATTAATAAATGAAAATATCAGATCATAAAACAATGACACATGCTAGGATCACCTACCAAATAATGTATATACATTATGTACATATATGTACATACTAGTATATAATTATATATATTTATATGTAAAAATTAAAATAAAAAAAATAAAATAAAATAAAATTAAACATCAATATAAATGGGAATCAAATCAGGAATCAATACACATGTCATGTTCATCAACTACCAACTTATCATAGACATTATTATTATTATTGAAACAATTATCAAATAAATAAAATAAACCATAAGGACCATCTAGACCTATAAATATACCCTCTTAGCCATCCCAAACAATTCAAATCGGAGAGATAGAAGCTATATATACATATACATATATATACAAAATCTCGCCGGAAAAGTTATATCTATACTATTTTACGTATCAAACTTCGTAAAAACGATAGAGGAGGGTTGTGAGAGGTCTAGGAATACTTTCCAATAAATTCCAGACCGATTCGTAGTCACCGGAGTTGCTTAGACATCACCGGAGTGTCAAGCCGTGCAAACGGGTCTTCAGCAAAAGCGGACATTTGGCCGTAGATAGGAGTGGAGGAGCTTCGTCTCGACGTGAGGATCATTTTGCAACTTGAATCGTCGAAAACCGTTACTAAGTAAAGTTATCGCTCGGCGAAGTTTTCGTTATTCCGTTCGCCGGAATCGCGACGTGGAGAAGAGCTGGGAAGAAGGCAACCCAGTCTTCTTAGGCCGGGTCACGTATTTGGGCTGCTTCGGCCCATTTTCAATAAAAATTAAAAATAAAATAGTAAATGAAATAAATAAAATCTGGGAAAATATAAATTAAATACATATTCGGACCAACCATAATTGAAAAATAATATTTTTAACTATTTTTAATTGATTTAATTGTAATTGGGCCAATTTGTACATATTTAGTAAATAATTAACTAAATGACGAAATGAATTATGAAATAATTATTGGAGTAAACTAGATTAAATATATGACTAACTAGGACATTTGGGACCATTTATATTTAATAAAAATTATGATTAGTATATTTAATTGTAATTAAACCGGTTAATAGATATATGAAATTAAATGAATAAATAAGGGAAATAATTCTAAAATAA